ACAGCTGTGGCTACTGTGTGGCTGTTGATTGTTGTATTGACCTGATAAAGTATTGTCTGCAAGTGGCTGGTATTGTCAAACAGCTGTGGCTACTGTGTGGCTGTTGATTGTTGTATTGACCTGATAAAGTATTGTCTGCAAGTGGCAGGCATTGTCAAACAGCTGTGGCTACTGTGTGGCTGTTGATTGTTGTATTGACCTGAGTAATGTTATAGAGTGCAGCGCTACTAACTGGCGGCTCCTCATCATGCTCTCCACCAATGTACTGATTTCCTCTTTCTTAGCGGTTTTTCCAGTCATGTCTTCATGTCAAGTTGAACTTTAGCGCATACTGATCAACATGGTGAGCCAGAATATATGTAACATCTGGTTTGGGAGCATTTTAAGGGAGTTTTTCCTTCCTTTCCTGTGCATTTGGGGCTTAAGCAGTTTTTCTGCGCACCAAGACGTCAGGTATCTTTTGTGACTAGTAGATCACCTTCTGCTGGTAACAATTGGATGTTTCTCCAGCACCAGTGCAGCACTTGATATGCTAATGAACCAATGTTGTCTCCCATTTAATTCAACAATGCCACTGCATCTGCCAATGGACTCCTCAATGGCTCCTGCTTCATTCCAGCGAGGCAGATATTCGCCAATACACCGTTGGGCCTCCTTCAATAATGAACCCGATCTTTGCCGTCCATGTCCTCTTGCTGCTGAAATCTGCAGTGATATTGGACCCAGAACATGTCCAATCCATCCACCATCCAAATCTTCTGGACTGATCACTGGCACCTGTTGTTTTTGGCGCACTCGTTGTGGATACAAGGCTGGGATACGTAGGCTCCAATCGACTTACTTCAACTTTGAAATGCCCATTGAAATTGGAAATCGCACATCAAGTCAAGACGGACCCCATCACCCTGATTACTTCAATCAAAATTCACCAGCCCGGTATGTAAATGCACACAAAACTTGGTTTATCCACATCAGTCTGTGACGGTCATACTAAAGCGTCAACATAGCGTTAACACAGCGTCAACACATCCAAAATGCATTAAAAGTGACAAAAGCAGTATGTAACCCATACAGTATGGACAGAAACAAGATTTTGGCTTAAAATCAATAGGTTAAACATCTGAAAATTGTTGCCTCAGTGGCAGCACGAACCATTCCATTATGCTAAAGGGTGAGAGCGTCGTTCAATAAACCTCAGTCCCTCAGTCTCTCACAGATCAGAGTGCATCCTTCTGCATCAAGGCGCCCTCTGTTGTAATGTCATAACCTACACACCCCTACTTGAAATGGTATAATCAAAGCTTTGTGCAAAGTCAAGATGGCGGACAACGGCCGCGCAAGTTACAGGTCATTTTTTTGCGTGAAAATACTATATTTTTAACAACTAAATGGAAACTTAATCCAATGGAAATGCTGTTTTATTCTATGCTTTGCCATTCTATACCTTTCTTGGTCAATTCAGAATGTGTTTTGGATGTGTTGACAGTGTGTTGACGCTTCTGTCATGTGTTGATGCTGTGTTGATGCTGTGTTGACGCTGTGTTGGCGCTTTTTAGTGCCACCTGTCTGTAAGATCTTAACCCTCATAAACTCAAGCTAGACACTACCTTCTGCATGATTAATGCCCATTCAATTCGGAACAAAACAACAGAACTTCTTGATTTTGTTTCTGAAAATCATCTTGATATCATTGGTATCAGTGAGACATGGTTATCCATCGCAATCTCCACAGCATTGATTTGAATCTCTTGTGCACTGAGATTGAAGGCAACCATCTGTCGGCCCAATGCAGTGTTGCCATGTCAACGAGGCAGCCGACAGTTACAACTTCATACTGTCTCAACTCTTGGATACATTTGCACCAGTCAAGTCCCGATGTGTCACTTTTCGGCCCGACACCGGTTGGTACACTGATTGTTCCAAGCTAAGCACAGATGAAGACAGCTTGAGCACAGGTGGCATGCATCTTCACTCCAGATTGACCGCCAACTACATCACCAACAATGCCAGCATGTGATCTGGCTGATCCGTAAGGCCAAAAGAACCCATTACTCAGAAATAGTCTCCTAGTGTTCTGGTGATCAAAAACAACTGTTTCCTGCCACCAACAAGCTTCTCCATAGGAATAAGGAATCTTTTCTACCTATGTACAATTCCGACAAGTCACTGGCTGACCATTTCAGCCATTTTTTTCACGTCCAAGATTTCTTTGATTCGTGATGCACTACCTCTCCTTGTGCCAGATACAGATACTTCTACCCCCACCCCGCCAACACAAACTACACTGACCAGTCTCCGTTTCGCCTCTCAAGATGAGATTCGCACAGTCATCTTCAAATCCCCAGCAAAATCATGTGACTGGGACCCTATACCATATCGTCAGAACCATAGTGTAGAAACATTACTTGTTCATCTATCCGCGACCACATCCTACGACAGATGGATGTTGGCAAAGTAATGGCGCTTGTGCTTCTCGATCTGTCATCAGCATTTGACACCATAGATCACGCCATCCTGATCAGTCGCTTGCACTCTTTGGGAGTGCACGATGCAGCCTTGCAGTGGTTTGACTCATACCTTGCAGACCGGCAACAGTCTGTTAACTTCAATGGAGTATTATCTGCCCTACCTCCCTTGACTGTGGTGTTCCTCAGGGATCTGTTGGCGGTCCCATGTTATTCACCATCTACGGCCAAGTTCGGGCAAGGACCATTAGTCGACTAGTGGTTAATTTGTGACGTACCTTACGCCTGCGCACTGATAGCAACGTGCGAACGTCTCTCGTCAAACGCTGGTCAAAATGTCATCGCAAAACTTCTGGATCCTGGCTCTCTGCTAGCGTTATGAATGCGCGCGGCTATTGGTTACCAGCAAAGCAACCAACCCCAGTAGGCTGGTTCCAAATAGTCGACTAGCGTGGTCAACCACCATCGACTAGACAGAGTTCGGGCAAACGTTAGTTAACCATTGGTCAACTATAGTCCTTGCGCGAACTTGGCCTACATTTTACCACTCGACCAGATCATCCAGAAACACAACCTATATCACTGCTATGCTGATGACATACAGCTGTATCAATCCTTCAATCCATCTCAACCCAATGCTGTGTCTGCCCCGGAGAATCTTGAGGCTTGCATTGATGAGATCAAGACATGGATGATGACAAACAGTCTCAAATTGAATGACAACAAGTCTGAATTTATCCTGTGTGGCTCAAAATAACAACTTGCCAAGTTCAATATCACCAGCATTAGGATTGGAGATTCCCGCATCCATCCTTCCAACAAGTGTCGCAACCTAGTTGTCACTTTCGACCCCCACATGTCCCACATTGATCAGATATCAGCAGTGTCAAAATCAGTCAGATTTCATCTCCGTAATCTTGTCTTCATTCGGAAGTATCTAAATCGTACGGGCACTGAGCAACTAGTCCATGCATTTATAACTTCGCGCTTAGATGTTTGTAATTCACTCATGTATAACCTGCCACACCACCGGATAACAAACTTCAACGCCTCCAAAATGCCACTGTATGCCTCATCACCTTATCCAGATGCACCACTCACATCAACCTCGTCTTAAGTCCCTTCACTGGCTCCCCATCGCTGATCGCATTGCCTTCAAGATCTTCCTTCTCGCTTTCAAGTCACTACAAGGAACTTCACCGGACTATATGTAGGGTACAGGAACCCCCGTCCCTAAATGGTACTGCCCAGCCAAGTGGACAGAGGGCTGACTGTGTTGGCTATGCTGGTCATTCATGGCAGTGTATGCATTGAGTGATCAGCATATCCAACATAGTTCCCCTCTGCCATCTCTTTTCAGGTATGTACTAACATTTTGATATTTTATAATGGAATATACCCTGTAGATTTAGAAATGATTTGAAGTTATCCCAAAGCCTTGAGTTCTCTTGACAGTAACAATGAGTAGAGATTATCGCAAGTTTGATAACACCCTGTAATTATTGTTGGGATCTTGGCAGTCACATAAATGAATATTTTTCTGTCTACTTTTGGGCTTTCTGCCAAAGTTTAGTTTCTGAACATTCTACACTTCAGTGAAGAGTCAGAGTTTTATGGGGTGTCCGCATTGATGGTCAATTCCTTTGTCAGGATTTTAGCTAGTGAATTTGTAACTTAACTTGGGACTTGTAATCCCCAATTTCTTGGTGTCTCAAAAATCTTAGAATAGCTTTTTCAGATATATCTTCCACTTTTGTTTAACTGTATGTATAATCACTTAGTAACTTTATGAATGGTAGCATAGAGCATAATTGTAGATAGAAAAGTTTGTTCATTTTATTCTATAAACTTGGGTAAAGCATGGAGCTATAGGGAATGCCTATATGTACTGCACACACTGTCCCTACACAAGGTGACTCAGCCTAGGGCTGCCACATGGTCCTGGGTGGACATTCCACAGACAGGTGGTCACTCACTTATTTAGCTCTGGTGGTCTGTCCAGGGGTCTGTTTATTAGCAACTAGGGAGGATAGGCACGGGGGAGCTAGCATGGTTAGAGTGTTTCATTACCACTCGAAGTTAGTGTTTATGCCTTGGAGGCAAGGGCCAGGCTAAAGTCTGTTGCCATAGAGACAGCAGTGGCGGCCAAACGGATTTTAAGTTCTGCTTCTCATGGATTTGTGGCCACTCAAATTCTATGTTGTGTTTCAAGTTTACTGTACATGTATATTATTAGAGTGTCTTGTCACATTTGGAGTACTGGATGGGATTTAGCTCATTTATTGAAATTGCCGTTACTGATATTATGCCCAGTAAGTTGATTTAGTAATTAGCAGATTCATGGCAGTGTATGCATTGAGTGATCAGCATATCCAACATAGTTCCCCTCTGCCATCTCTTTTCAGAATAAACAGAACCAATTCGAACCTATAGAGCTTCCGCTTACAAGTGTCAGAAGTGGGATTGGTGGTTGCTCGGAGTACAGTCAGCTACTGGAGTTTGGTAATCATCCAGTGAGAATCGCAAATTACCACGATGCCGGCTGAAACCACGGTGAGGGTACAGCTCAGTAAATCGGACCCACCTAGCAAGTTCACCCTCAGTGGGGGTAAGCTGCCACTGGCAACCTTACGAGTCAGGTTCCCCTATGCCACCGGGCTGGCGCACAGTGTACAGGAGGAGGAGATCATCCTTCCGCTTGAGCAGGACATAATACAGCCACCCCTGGATGGATGGGGGGAAGAAATCTTCCAGGCCATCATCCCTGCGCAGCACGGGGAGACCAAGCAGGCAACAGTACCAGCAGCCCAGGGGTCTGTTGTACTCGCCCCAGAAAGGAAGGTACCCATTTTTGAGGGTCGGGAGGAGGCAGCCGGTCGGTCAGTGCCGATTGATGAGTTCGTGACAGCCATGAAGCATGCCTTTGACCGCTATGCAATAATGCCGCATCAACGCAGTCATTTTCTGCTGGAGTCACTCAGAGGTAGTCCACGGATAGAGGCAAAGGCACTGATGAATGATGGGGCTGGAGTGGAGGAGGTGTTGAATTATCTGGTCAGCTCCTATGGGGAAAGTCTCACCAGCAGTGAACTACAGCGAAGGCTGTTGGAACGCCGCCAACGTCCATGTGAAAGTGTGAGAGATTTCTCTGTTGAGATCCAACGACTTTTTCTGCGGCTGCAGAAAAAGGACGCCAAGGTCTACCAACACCCAGGCCAAATGTTGAAAGAACAGTTTGTTGATGGGCTAAATGCGGAGGGCCTCCGTCACTCATGCCGTGACCTGCTCGACCGCCGACCGGACATTACTTTTACAGACCTGAAGAACTGGGCCGTCAAGAGGGAGGAGCGGGAATCGGCCCGTGACCCTACCACTGGAGCTGTGGCAACCGTACAGGTGGAGGAAAACCCAGTAACCGTGCTACAGAAGAAAATGGAGAGGCTGGAGGAGGCGATAAGGGGCCTCACCACCCAACCACTGCCCAGGGGACCGCCCCCAAAGACAGCTGGGCCAGAGTGGGGCGCGAGGCACTGGAGAGCCCAAGCTCCTCCGGGACCCTCACCTACATGGATGGAGTACTCCGGCGACAGTCAACCACCGCCAACACCGCCAACACCAACAGCAACCCTTCTATGCTTCAATTGTGGAAGCCCGGGGCATTTTGCCCGCAATTGCCCGTTCCCACGCCAGAGAGGCCCACAACGCCAGCAGCCCAACTCAACCCAGCAACAGCAACAGGTAAACCAGCACCCTCGGTCGTCGGGAGCCAGACAACCGGAGGGGTGGAGTGCGGCTCAATAGATCACCAATTTTTTGATAAGGCAGTTGCAGACTGCTTCTCCGTCCATGTTTCATTTGGTCCTCACCAAATCCCCTGTTTATTGGATACTGGGTCAATGGTTACTACAGTCACAGAGTCGCATTACAACAAACACCTTAAGAGTCATGGGTTCACATTGAAGTCCATCCCAGAACATTTTCTGCTTCAATCAGCGAATGGGTCGAGCATACCTTATGTTGGGTGTTTCGAAACAGATGTGATGGCGCTTGGCGTCTACATTCCCACAAGGCTGATACTTGTTATTAGAGAGGTGCGTGGCCGCGCATCCACGCACAATACACCACCTTGCATCCTTGGCATGAATGTATTGGCAGAGTGTTGGAGCCGTCTTGTGGCAGATCATGGCCAGGATTATTTGCAGAGGCTACACACCAACACCCAGAGGACAGCGTGGGAGAAGGCAATGACGGTGGTGAAAAAACGACTACAGTTTACAGACCTGGACGGCCCAATCAGTCGAGCGTACCTTCCCCGAGGCCCAGCTATCGTGCTGCCAGCTGGCCAGATGATGGTACTGCAGGTATCTGCTCGACCCGGGCCAGATTGCATGAGCTACCAGGCAATCCTCGAGCCTCATGAAGCGACCACCCTGCCCAACTCCATTCAAATCGGCAGGTGTCTAGTTACAGTAACAAAAGGCACGTTTGTGGTGTCAATCACCAATGATAGTGCCTTTGATGTTCTACTGCCAGGTCACACATGTGTGGGTACTCTGTATCATGGGGAGTGGATGGAGCAGCAGGGGACCGATGCTGGCGATCCGAGCATTGTCACCCAAGACTCGGCCAATCACCAAGCGTGGCAGACATACTGCTCGTCGATGGCATCCGCCACTGAGTCTAGCAACCCGCAGAAACCTGACATTGACATGGGGAGTCAGCTCAGCGGGGAAGAGAAACACCAATTTCAACAACTTCTACAGCGATATGAGGAGGTGTTCTCCAAACATGATCGAGATCTTGGCTACACTGACACAGTGAAACACACTATCCATACTGGCGCTGCGGCCCCCATTCGGCAGCGATATCGGTCTCTCCCTCCATCGCAGTACCAAGAGGTGCGTAAACATATACAGGAGCTGTTGGAGGCAGGAGTAGTTCAGGAGAGTGTCAGCCCTTGGGCTTCCCCAATCGTAGTCGTACGGAAGAGAGACCAATCTATACGCCTGTGTATTGACTACCGGCGACTGAACGCAGTCACAACAAAGAATTCTTTCCCATTGCCACGCATAGACGAATCCTTGCAAGCGCTGGGTAAGGCGAAGTATTTCAGCGTTCTTGATTTGACCTCTGGGTACTATCAGGTGGCCATGGCAAAAGAGGATATGGAGAAGACGGCATTTGTGACCCCTTTCGGCCTTTGGGAGTATACCAGAATGCCATTCGGGCTGTGTAACAGTCCGGCCACATTTCAGAGACTAATGCAGCGGTGTCTTGGTGACCAGGCCTTGTCGAGCTTGCTTATTTACTTAGATGACATAATCGTTTTCTCAACCACTTTTGACGAGCATCTGAAGCGACTCGAGTTGGTGTTTTCCCGACTACAACAGCATGGCCTGAAGGTGAAGCCAGCAAAGTGTTCTTTCTTCAAGACAGAGGTTAACTATCTGGGTCATCTGGTGGTGGCAGGTGAGGGAGTAAGGCCAGATCCCGAGAAGATTGCAACTGTAAAGGACTGGCCTCAACCCACCACGGTCACTGAGCTGCGGTCGTTTTTGGGTTTCACCGGCTTTTTCCGGAAATTCATCTGCCAGTACTCAAGCATTGCCTCCCCCTTGTTCGCTTACCTTAAAGGGCCGATGAAAAAGGGCAAGACCAAACCAAGACCCCCAGGTGGGAAGGTTGATCTGGATGATGCTGCAGTATCTGCAATATCGACCTTAAAGACGCGGCTCACAGAGGGACCTGTTTTGCAGTTTGCCGACTTCAGCCAGCCATTCGTTGTCGAAACTGATGCAAGCTCCACTGGTCTTGGGGCTGTTCTGTCTCAACAGCAAGAGGACGGTTCCAAGGCAGTCATCGCATACGCCTCGAGATCCCTACGTCCTGCGGAGCGCAACGACAGGAACTACTCGGCGTTCAAGCTCGAGCTGTTGGCTGTCAGATGGGCTGTCTGTCAGGCCTTTCGGGATTACTTGATGGGCAACAGATGCACTATCTACACTGACCACAACCCCTTAAAATACTTGGACACAGCTAACCTCAGTGCAGTTGAGCTGCGATGGGTACAACAGCTCTCTGCATTTGACTACCAACTAGAATACCGCACGGGAAAGAGTAATCAAGCTCCAGATGCCTTGTCTAGACTCAATCCAAAATCCCCAGATGAGCCACCCTGTCTTCAGATTGGTCCTGAGGTGGAGATCTCCTCTTGTGCAGTCCAGGCTATATGTGGCAGTGTTCACGCTAATTCCGACATTCCCCATGCCCTCCTCCATCATATACGAGTTGAGCGCCATGAAGGCAGTCAGTGTCTTCCAGGCTACACTGCTGAAGAGCTACGGTCACTTCAAGATAGGGACATTATCCTCCACAGAGTTCTGACCTACTTTGGGAGAGGTCACAAACCAAACAAACACGAGAGACGGGATGACCCAAGAGAAGTGGCTGCAATCCTGAAGCATTGGAACCAACTCTTGTGTAAAGATGGCGTACTCTACAGACGGTCAACCTTCAGGGGCGGTGTACAGAGTGAACGCCTTGTGACTCCAGCTCAACTGCAGGACATTGTCCTGAGTTCCTTCCATGATGACATGGGACATTTTGGTGCACGGCGAACGCTCAAGCTGATTCAGCCACTCTTCTTCTGGCCGAAGATGGAAAGTTCTATCAGATCATGGTGCCAGCGATGCGAGAGGTGTGCAGTGGGTAAGCGACCCGTTCGTCATACCAAACCACCCATGGGGAACCTGCGGGCCACTGCACCTTTGGAGGTCATCGCCATGGATTTCACGGTACTCGAACAATCATCCAGTGGCTATGAGAATGTACTTGTCCTAACAGATGTCTTTACCAAGTTTGCTTGGGCAATCCCAACGAGAAATCAACGGGCTGACACCGTGGCTAGGGCACTCGTCAAGCATCTCATAACGCCTTTCGGGGCTCCGCTGAGACTCCACTCTGACAATGGGAAGTGTTTCGAGGCCCAAGTCGTGCAGGAGCTCTGTCAGCTCTACGGCATTGGACGATCTCACACTACCCCATACCACCCCCAAGGTAATGGTCAATGTGAACGTTTTAATAGGACATTACACAACCTCCTGGTGACCCTACCTGACCACAAGAAGTCCAGGTGGACAGAGTATCTTCCCCAATTAGTGGCCATGTACAACAACACAACCCACTCCAGCACCGGTTATGAGCCCTTCTTCCTGCTGTTTGGGAGGACAGCTCGGCTACCTCAACACCTTACTCTTGGGGTGGATCACCATCAACTTGGGGGAGTTAATGCACAGCCTTATGTAAAGAGACATGCTAACCAGCTCGACCTGGCACGCAAGATCGCAGTCGCCAATCTCGATAAGGCTGTCAAGACCAGAACGGCAGCCTACGAGAAGGACGTCTTCGAGAGACCCCTTAGTACTGGCGAATATGTCCTTGTTCGCAACCGTAGTCGCCGTGGCAGAGCAAAGATCCAGAACTTTTGGGAGGAGACGCCTTACTTAGTCGTTGGGCAACCTTTTGAGGGACAGCCGGTATATGAGGTTCGCAACTTGGCGGGTCTCAAGAAAGTTCTGCATCGTAGTGAGCTGAAGCACTGCTCGTGGGAGGTCCACCCAGTAGCAGCTGAACCAACCTTGGGAAGTAGCACAGTTACGAGTGCATCCGACAACTCCACAAGTCAAAGCTCCTCCGATGATAGTGCCACACATTGGGGAAAGATCACCTTGACGGCTGAGCAGAAACCAAATGTTGTAGCTCCGCCACCTCCCCACCAGCCTGGAGATGAACAACCCAATATGGACCCCACGACACCTTTGAATGTGCTGCCCATTGATCACCACCTTCCCCAAGAACTAGAACAACCCAAGGATGACCAGAGCGATATAATTGGTGCTGAGCCCCTCCCTGATCCAGAACTGATCACCCTTGACCCGCCGGAGGAGAACACCATTTCCAAGGATGACCAAAGCGATTTAATTAGTGTTGAGTCCCTACCTGATCCAGAACTGATTACCCTCGACCCACCGGAGGAGAACACCATTTCCAGGGATGACCGATTGACAGCTGCACCGACTATGACACAGGAAACTGAGGGGACACTGACTAGTGGTCCCAGCAGGATGCACACATCGGATAGTACAGAGCCTGGCCGTAATGACTCGGCAAACACCACAGTGCGACCCCGCCGTTCGAAACGGACGACTAAAGGGCGGCCCCCAACCAGGTACCAGTTTACTAGTGTCCTCCGGCTGCTTGACCAAGTGAGGAAATTTGCCACACAGACAGAGATAACCTCCGGGACCGATTCCGACATTGACTCTGAGTAATGCCAGTGCACCCCATGCCAGGACTGTTGCATGAGCACGCTGAACTGAATGATATCATCAGTGAACCCTTCATGGGCATTGCCTAGTAGCATTTGGCCAGCCTTGTTAGTTGCCTATATAATCTTCCTATTGACTCTAGATGCAATGTACGTTTAGCTTAAATGATTAGCAGATATAATTTTGTAGGTTTCTTGTGCACTGCATGTTAATTCTCTAGTCGTCGGGGGCGACGACCTATAACTTTGGGAGAGGTGTAGAGTTGGCGAGATAGCGCCCCGTATAGTGGTATTGCATCTAAAGCGTGATAGTCATAGTTGCTTTTCGATGCAGTCGAGGTGCGCTAGAGTACATTCATTCGGAGTCTGTCTTACATTTTTAGAAACCAGACCCTGTCTTGATGTATAGTTGTTGATAAGCAATGAGATAGACACTACATGTAGATGGCGCTGAAGACGCAGGGATATTTGTCATTTGCTATTTTGCAGGATTTATTGATGCCTGTAAATAGTACTTTAGAGACGCAGTGGATATACAAGCAGTGGTTTAGGATGCTTTCCTTGAACCTGTTGATAGCAAGTTTCTTATAATCATTAGTTAGTATTACCGTAGGATCGCAGTTTTATGTTCATTATTGAATTCTTTTCTAATATCGAAGTGCTGAAAGCTGTCAGACCTGTCTGGTGACATGCTTTACCTTGTATTGCCAGTCGTCGAGGGCGACGACCTATTAGTGCTGGACGATTGTAGGGTACAGGAACCCCCGTCCCTAAATGGTACTGCCCAGCCAAGTGGACAGAGGGCTGACTGTGTTGGCTATGCTGGTCATTCATGGCAGTGTATGCATTGAGTGATCAGCATATCCAACATAGTTCCCCTCTGCCATCTCTTTTCAGGTATGTACTAACATTTTGATATTTTATAATGGAATATACCCTGTAGATTTAGAAATGATTTGAAGTTATCCCAAAGCCTTGAGTTCTCTTGACAGTAACAATGAGTAGAGATTATCGCAAGTTTGATAACACCCTGTAATTATTGTTGGGATCTTGGCAGTCACATAAATGAATATTTTTCTGTCTACTTTTGGGCTTTCTGCCAAAGTTTAGTTTCTGAACATTCTACACTTCAGTGAAGAGTCAGAGTTTTATGGGGTGTCCGCATTGATGGTCAATTCCTTTGTCAGGATTTTAGCTAGTGAATTTGTAACTTAACTTGGGACTTGTAATCCCCAATTTCTTGGTGTCTCAAAAATCTTAGAATAGCTTTTTCAGATATATCTTCCACTTTTGTTTAACTGTATGTATAATCACTTAGTAACTTTATGAATGGTAGCATAGAGCATAATTGTAGATAGAAAAGTTTGTTCATTTTATTCTATAAACTTGGGTAAAGCATGGAGCTATAGGGAATGCCTATATGTACTGCACACACTGTCCCTACACAAGGTGACTCAGCCTAGGGCTGCCACATGGTCCTGGGTGGACATTCCACAGACAGGTGGTCACTCACTTATTTAGCTCTGGTGGTCTGTCCAGGGGTCTGTTTATTAGCAACTAGGGAGGATAGGCACGGGGGAGCTAGCATGGTTAGAGTGTTTCATTACCACTCGAAGTTAGTGTTTATGCCTTGGAGGCAAGGGCCAGGCTAAAGTCTGTTGCCATAGAGACAGCAGTGGCGGCCAAACGGATTTTAAGTTCTGCTTCTCATGGATTTGTGGCCACTCAAATTCTATGTTGTGTTTCAAGTTTACTGTACATGTATATTATTAGAGTGTCTTGTCACATTTGGAGTACTGGATGGGATTTAGCTCATTTATTGAAATTGCCGTTACTGATATTATGCCCAGTAAGTTGATTTAGTAATTAGCAGATTCATGGCAGTGTATGCATTGAGTGATCAGCATATCCAACATAGTTCCCCTCTGCCATCTCTTTTCAGAATAAACAGAACCAATTCGAACCTATAGAGCTTCCGCTTACATATATAACAGACATTATCACGAAATATCAGCCGTCACGTAGTTTTCGTTCGGCCGGAGTGCTACAGCTTACTGTTCCCCGCACCAATCACTCTTGGGGAAACCGGTCTTTCTCAATCACCGCTCCCGAACTGTGGAACAATCTACCCCTTGAAATTCGCCAGTCATCATCATTGTCTGTATTTAAATCTTCTGTGAAAACTCATATGTTTACCTCACGTTTTTGTGTTTAAAGTTGATGTTTATTACTTCTGTCACTAATTTCTGTTATTCAAATTTAACTTAATTTATACTGTAATTGTTTTGTATGTATTGTGCACCATGAGCGTCTTGCTTGGTGGATGTCGGCGCCTTATAAATGTTCATTATTATTATTATTATTATTAATATTTCCAAACATGTGTCAAGTGACACATTTTTGGAAATGTCTGTGAATTGGTCCCCCCCATGCATTGCTATTTGTACTTGGTTTGCAATAGGGCTTGCTCAATGACGTCCAAATCTGTAGGAGAGCTGCAACTGCGTATTTTACGCAATATATCATGCATTGCGCAGTGTTGAAAATGTTCCAAACATGTGCACATATTGCTTGAAATGTTTTTCGAATGTCGACGCGGCCGATACACGTCATGCAATTGGATGCTCAGTATGTTGATGCACGCGGCTGGTCTGTAGGAAATGACGTCACTTGAACAAGACCTATTGGGAATGCACAAATGGGTGACAACCTTCTCGCATGCTGTCAATTTCCAAACGTTTGTCAAGTGACACTGTAAATCCGCCCTTCCCCCATGCATTCTAATTTGTAATTGGTTTGCAATTTGGGGATCCACAAATGAGTGACAACCATGCATGATGTCAATTTCCAAACATGTGTCAAGAGGCACATTTGTGGAAGTTTCTGTTTATCTGCCCCTCCCCCCCCCCATGTGTTCTAATTCCCCCCCCCAAAAAAAATGTGTCAAGCGACACATTTTTGGAAATTTCCGTAAATCCCCCATTTGCTCTAATTTGTACTCCTGTCAGAGTCTTAATAATTAAAGATATCAGCTACAACTGATATAAACCACGGTTACTAACTGTCTAGATATCCGCTCTCCGACTCTGGCTCCCCAAAGTTTTTCTCCCCAAAACTTTGCTCTCCAAAATTTGGCTCCCCAAAAGTTGGCTCCCCAAAACTTTGCTGCCCAGCTCAGCTCAGCACCCCAATTTAATCAAGTTGGCTCCCCCAACTCAAGTTGTAAAGATCTCAGCTCCCCACACTGGCCAAAGCACTATGTGTAAATACAGTTAGAGATCAGCAGTAGAGTTCGCAGCTAGCAGTAGACCAACACCCATCAAAGAACCGTACCCAGAATGAACAAAACCTGCCCTATTTATACCCTATTGGCCCAGCGCGAAAATCAAAAGTACGCGCTAGTAAATAGGCCATGCCCATTTTGTAAAAATCACAGTATACTGAATTCACATAGCGATAGTTTCCCCTAAATTTCTCCAAAATTATACAGAAAAATATCACACAAAAAGGCTTAAATTAATCTTCAAGACATTCCTTACAGTAAATCTGTTGTAAAAATGTGAATAAATTATACTGAATCCCCAAAATGCCTACTTTTACAAGCAGTGAATGTAAACAAACCTTAAGTTTCTTGAAGAAAATTCAGTGATGTCACAGATATGAATAATCATGAGACAGTCACTGACTTACCCAACCTCGTTCCCATGGGTATGAGATCTTGCTGCGCCATGTTGTTTCCCATCATGCCTTGTGTGATCTCAACCCCTGGAATTGTGTAATTTAAATGTATCAAAATATGGCACATTATAATTAGGCTGCAGTTTATCCATTTTACGTGCCGACGCCATCTTTAAATTGTTAAAAATTGTGATTTTGAAGAATCCATCCTTTTAAACATAAGGTTTGGACATTGCGTTATTTAGCAAAGATTTGTATTAAATGTATCAATCTTCGAAATGCACGCGCAGTACGCTTAGTTAGGGGTTAGTGAAGGAACGCGCACGCGCCCATGGAGTCGAGGCTGTGACTTACCAGATGAAATCTGACAGAAAAGTCATCAAAACTTGCCCAACTTTCAAAGTTGCTTCAAATTAAACAACTTCACATAAGAAGCTACATAATTATTTAGTAAAACGTTCTAATAATATAAATTACTTTTTAGAAGTCCCAGTTTGCTAGAAATAATTTTAGAACTTTCAGCAAATCAGAAACATTTTAAGTGCCGCTCAAATGGCAGCCATGTTGGATTTTACCATCACGCTATTTATAGCACAGCTGACATGTGTAAACAAACACGTGAGTGTACACACAGAATTTCGGCAGGAAAATACTCAAAACTACCTAGAAATAATACTAAAAAGACATCAGGAATTTTCTAGACAAAAATGCCAGATCTCTAGGAGGATATATGTAAGACTTAGAGTAATAAAACTTACGTAAAAAGTGGGATTTGGGGGCATTTTCGTCACAGTATGATCCAGAAATCTAGTGTGAACTTGAACCATGTTACGAAGATGTTCTAAATTTTGTTATGTCATCATGACGTCATCAAGTATCAAATTACAAGCAATTTCATGGAAAATTCTGACAAAATAGATTGCGCTGTATCTTTTGAACTAAATAGAGTATCGTGTTAGTTTTTTAGTGAGGTTGTAGACTATGCCGTGAAAAACGGTTCCTGTTCCCAGACACAAAACCGCATGACCTTCATTTCAGGTGTTGCCGGAAGTGCAATAAAAACCAAATATATTACTCAAAAGCGGAAGCATTTTACTACACACATATTAAGAAAGTGAGGAATACCAGACATAAAAAAGTGTGATGACGTCATCATCTGAAAGGGCGCCCCCTAGCGGCACATCAAATAGAGTTTGCTTTCTTTAATTTTAGAATTTGAAAAGGATCATATTTTTAATTAAATTCTATCATTTGATCCCTGTCATATCTTCGTAGTCCGAATAATGATATCCATTACAATGTTCACGTTTGGATAACTCTAATGCTGTGACATCATCAAACCGGAAGTTAGCTGTTATTAATACAAACAATTATATTTTCTCTATTTTCATACGTTATTTTCACTTCACAATGAAAATGTATCCTCTCCGAACTTTATCAGTATTCACTAACCGCTTTTGAATGATGATGTCATCAAATCAGAAATAACTTTTTTGCGCACATAGAATGTTTACTGAAATTTATCACACTATTAAAGATACATTTTTTAACATAATCATTGATTGTACTGGAAGGGAATTAATTTCGTGAACCTTTGTTCTACATAGACATATATTCCTAACTTAACTGGGCAGTGTATAACAGTTCAGTTTGTTCTTGGTTTTCAATTGGAGCATCCACAAATGGGGGAAACCGGCTGAATGAGAATCATGTCCCAAATGCTGATTTGGGGAATGTGCCATGAGAGGTTAGTTATTAAGCATCCTTGTTTAGATTTTGAGTACTAGTTTGCTGGTTGAAATGAAATTTAAAAAAATAACAAATTACACGGTTTAATTGCCAAACACGCTTTCAAGAACACGCTGCACGAAACAGCTGTCGTATTGCAACTCGTTGTAACTTATTTTCAACTGTTGCCGTAGCTTCCAATGTAGAAACACGATGTAAAAAACAGAATAAATTTATTGCCTTCAAGAAAGAACTGCACAAAGATAGAAAATTTTTCATTTCCTTATGATTACTGTTATTCCTGTTTTGTTATTTTTGCTCAAAACAGCTGATTGAATCAACCAGTCTGAGTCAGTTCTCTTGGTTGGGGAGTTATTTGGGTGGTAACGAAGCAGTGGACCAGGCAATTAATCGAGCACACCATTGAGACATGGATCAACCTCCACTGATTGACGGAGTCGTGCTGACTTAGATTGACACCATTGATGATA